CTCCTAAATCACTCGTACGCACAACTTAAGAACAAATCTGTGCGTACGAACGGTTCTTGCATGAGGCCCATTGTTCCAGTGGTGTAGTCTAACAGATCAGTTGAGTGAAACCAGTAGAAATTTTTTAATTAACTCCACTAAAGTTTTTTTAAGAGTAAAGAACAGAATTCAAGCTGAACAAAACCACTTGACAACTGTCAAYAGGTTGTGACTTTAATAAAGTCCTCAGGAGAAATGTTTTGCATGCAGAAAAATAAATAAAGGCCTTTTTTCCTAATGAAGGTCAAGCTTGACGAGACACAGAGTTGTAAATGTATTTATTATTAAATCTCCRACTTGGTTTGATTATTTCTTGTGGGTGGTTAACTAATCTGTGATGTGGCTGATGCCAACAGAACACAAAAATTGCTGTTCAGACTTAATGAGTCTGAAAATTCACTCATTAGTATAATTTTCATCTCAACTCACTGACACGTTTCTTACCTTTTTCAGTCAAACTTGAATATCAGACACCTTCTGTTGTTTCAGATGATTTTATTTTCAGAACTTTCACACAAGCTTTGATGCACAACAACAACAAACTCACTTTCTGTGACTGAGAGGGTGACAGATGTGCAAACGTTTCCATCTCATCTGTGTTCGACTCATCGGACTGAAACGAGGAGCGCACATGTCGACGCCGGTCAGCGAATATTTAAGATATGGTATTTTTTATTTATTTATTTATTTGTGTTGTCAGCAGAATCCCAATGCCCTTCCTCACTACCCAGACATCTGACAGAATACGTGCACTTCGTCTGCGTACCTTGTCACATTTCAGCAGCCTAAATGCACGGTTGCATCACTTCCTCAAAACAGCTCAAAGGCTTCGACATCATTTGAGTGACAGGAAGACGCTGCTGCAGAGTGAAGTGACATCAGCTTATAAAGTCAAATAGAATCCTTAAGCAGCAACGGGTTGTTTTCTTGAYGATCATGAGCTGACTCCTTCAATCTGCGGGGTTGAAAACACACTTTGCATTTTTTGTTTCACCGTTCAGGCAGCCATCAGTTTTCTACAGCTTGTTGTCTTTTCCTGATTGTATAATCCAGAACGAAGCGTTCAAGACGTTCACACAGAGATCCTTTCTAGGACAAAGTCTCTATACATCAAAGACTGCAGCAGTAATTTGGCCCTATAGCAAACTTAAAAAACTGGGCTTTTCCCTAATGATGAACAACAGACAAAAACAAACAGCACAATTCCAACTTTAGACCTTCAAACACTTCTCACAGAGCAAATCGTTCTTTTAGATATTTTTCTTTTATTTGAACTTCTTTTATTCAAGTGCTCAAGTTTTATGTCCCTTTTCATTCTTTTCAGAACTGCCAAAATGTGTCTTCAACCTTGAAATGATAAATTACAAGAGCTCTGGTCCCTGCTCCTTTTTCTTTTCTCTATTAGAGGCAAGATCAAACTAAAAGCACATATTTCAATCAATCAATCAATCAATCAATCAATCATCAATCAATCAATCACCTTTATTAACAAGGTAAAGGTAAAACATATAATGGTTGAAATAATGAAAAACTGTACCTCTAATTAGTAGCTCCCTTTTTTCTAAATAATTATTTTTTTTATCTCCCTTCAGCTTGTTTGTTAAATATACTTAATTCCACAACAGATGTGATAATAAGACACATTCAATTAATCTAGTTTTTATTGTAGGAGAAAACATTGGGGGGGGGGTATTATGCTAAATGACTTTTTGTTTTAGCTTTATATCATGTTATAATATCTTTCCCTCATCAAAAACATACACAGTGTTGCCTTGACTCAGCATGTCTGAGAAATCCTTGAATCGCCTGTGATAGACATGTGGAGCTCCCTAAACACTTAATGGAACAAAACCCTGCCTATTTGTACAAAGCTCCTCCTTGGAGCTCAGTCTGCAGCTGAGTGCCCACCACACAGAGCACCCCTCCCCTGAAGCATTGTTATGAAGTTGTGTTGAAGTGGGAGTGTCTGAAATGGCAGGAGGTTCTTAAAGAGACATAGAGCAATTTCAAGGTGTTCAGATAAACTATGATGCAGTCAAATTTATATATATATATATATAT